ATGAGATATTTAGCTCAAACACATGTTGAATTCTTATAACAAAACCAAGATAAGAACATGCATGTGAGAATTCTTTTGAAACCACTCCAAAATGCTATGAAATATGCATGCATGTAGGATTTGAATTATAATTCCCCAATCTTAGCTTAGTTCTCATGTTAATCTACTTAATTATTTTGAAATCATACATTGAATGAGTCAAACACAAGGCTTAAAGATTAAATTTCTTACCTAAGGTTCTCAATTCCTTAAATTCTAGTGAGTTCTTACTCAATTTCTCTAATTTCCCCTTAATTCTATAGTAATTCCTCATTTCCTTCTTGATTTCACTCTTCTCACTTTAGCTCTTCCTCTCTCACGTTTTTCTCCTCAAGAAAATGATCAATAAAGAGAGTTCTAATGTGTGTATAAGCCTTATAGGCTTTATCAGTGGGCTTAATTAAACTAGACTTACAACTAATCAATTGTCATTGTTTTATTCTAATTATTGAATCCGAATCAGAATTCAATTAAACTTACCATAAAATTCTAAAAAATACAAACAACACATTAACCTAGTCAAATTTGTGATCGGATGCTAATAAGGCCTTCATTTCGTATATTGAATCAAGAAGTCAGATAGATATTTCTACGTCAAACAAATATAAATACAAATAACACAATACACATGCAATTAAGTTAGGATTTCCTCTTAATTACTTATTAGGCATTCTTAATCATGGTTTATTAGCTAATCACAGGTCGGGATTGTTACCGTTTAATCATGGTTTATTAGTAATCACAGGTCGGGGTTGTAACAATTTTTCCCCCTTAAAGAGTTTGGTCCTCCAAACTCGAATTACCTTCATTTTGAAAGAAGATTGGATCCAGAGGGAACAAATCAGGGTATCTCTTCATCATATCTTCTTCGGTCTCCCAAGCTGCATACGTCCCTCCATAATTTTGCCAATCTACTTTCACTAACGGAATTTTTTTACTCCGCAGTCTTTTGATCCGGCGGTTCACAATTTGGATTGGCCATTCTTCATACATGTAATCATCCTCTAGAAGCACATGTGTTGGCTCAATAATATGATGCGGGTCTCGTAAATAGTCCCAAAGCATAGAAATGTGGAACACATTGTGCACTTGCTCCATGACTGGAGGTAAAGTTACCTGATACGTTACTAGATTGATTTTATCAATAATCTTATACAGGCCAACGTACATTGACGCCAACTTACCTTTAACCCTAAATTGTGTCTGTCCTTTCATAAGAGTCACTTTGATAAACACATAATCACTGACTTCATATTCTCTGTCTCTCTTCCAAACATCTACATAACTCTTTTGGCAACTTTGGGAGGTTTTCAAATGTTGTTGAATCAATTTCACTTTCTTGGTTGTTTCCTGCACGAGTTTCGATCCCAATAACGGTTTATCGCCTACTTCAGCCCAACAAATTTTCTTCCGTACAAAGTTCATAAGGAGCTATCCTAATGCTTGAATGATAGCTGTTGTTGTACACAAATTCGGCTAGTGGCAGATAGGTTTCCCAATTTCCTTGGAAATCTAACACACACATTTTGAGCATATCTTCCAAGGTTTGAATGGTTCATTCTGATTGGCCATCTGTTTGTGGATGATAAGCACTGCTAAGTCTTAGTTCAGTTCCTAAAGCTTGTTGCAAACTCTGCCAAAATCTTGAAGTAAACTTTGGATCTCTATCAGATACAATAGATACTAGCACACCGTGTAATCTCACAATCTCATAAATATAAATGTTAGCCAATTTATCCGCATTATGGAAAGTTTTCACAGGCAAAAAGTTAGCAGACTTAGTTAAATGATCAACAATTACCCAGATAGAATCCATACCTTTAGAACGAGGTAGGCCGACAATGAAGTCCATCGTAATATGCTCTCCTTTCCATTCTAGTATTGGAAGCGGCTAAAGTAATCCAGCGGGTGTTGATGTTCGGCTTTCACTGGTTGGCAATGCAAACATTTGGCTACAGAGTCAGCAATACTTTTCTTCAATCCAAGCCACCAGAATTTCTGTTTCAAATCTTTGTACATTTTTGTATTCCTCAGATGCATAGCAAATTTAGAATTGTGAGCTTCGGTCATAATGTGTTTCTTCAATTCTGAATAATCCGGTACACAGAGTCTACCCTAAAATTTCAACACATATGTTTATACATAAATCCCAGCCTTGGTTTTGAATTATTTTCTTCAGCAGTCTTCTTCAGAAATTCATCTTGTAGTTGCTTTTCTTTAACTTCCTCAATGATAGCTGGTTGTGCAGAAATGACAGCTAGGACTCCACTTTGTTTACGTAACCTAATTTTAATTTCATTTTTTTCTAAGTCACACAATAATTGTTTCTAGCCAGTGAGCAAATATGACAATTTTCCAATGGATTTTTGGCTCAGAGCATTTGCAACTGTATTTGCCTTTCTCAGGTGGTAAAAATTTGCAAGTCATAATCTTTAATTAACTCGAGCCATCTTCTTTGTCTCAAGTTTAGTTATTTCTGAGTTAAGAAATATTTCAGACTTTTATAGTTGGTATACACTTCACAAGTCACTCCATACAAATAATAGTGCCAGATTTTCAAAGCAAAAACCACAGCTGCAAGTTCAAGGTCATGAATCGGATAGTTCTTTTCGTGTAGGTGGAGTTGCCGAGAAGCATACGCAATTACCTTTCCATTTTGCATTATCACACACCCCAGGCCTTTGTATGAAACGTCAATGTAAATCTGAAACCATCTATATTATTAGGTAGAGTCAGAATTGGTGCAATCATTAGTCTAGTTTTCAATTCTTGAAAAGAAGACTCTTTTTGATCATTCCAATCAAACGGTACATTTTTTTGCGTTAATTGTGTCAATGGCATGGCAAGTTTGAAGAAGTCTTTCACAAATCTTTTTTAATAGTCAGCAAGTCCCAGAAAACTTTTAACTTTTGACACATTTGTTGGTCTTGGCCAATTTACAATAGCTTCAATTTTCTGCGGGTCAACCGATATGCCATCCTTGTTGATTACATGCCCCAGAAAAGTCACATTATCAAGCCAGAACTCACATTTGGAAAGTTTTGCATGCAATTTCTTTTCTCTCAGAATTTGTAACACAGTTCTTAAATGGTTTTCATGATTTTCCCTACTTTTGGAGTAAATTAGAATATCATCAATAAACACAACAACAAATTCATCCAAATATGATTTGAAAACCCTATTCATGAGGTCCATGAAGGCAGCAGGTGCATTAGTTATCCCAAACGGCATTACTAAAAATTCATAATGTCTATATTTAGTTCGGAATGCAGTTTTCTCTATGTCTTCTACTTTAACTTTTAATTGGTGATACCTAGACCTAAGGTCAATTTTAGAGAATACTTGAGCTCCCTAGAGTTGATCAAACAAATCATCTATTATAGGTAGTGGGTATTTGTTTTTCACAGTTGTTACCCCAGGTAGGCAACCCAAGAGGGGGTGAATTGAGTAATAAAAATAATGAGCAGAAAATTGATTGCAATAAATTCAGCAAGTAATGAATAATACTGAAAATAAATGAGAAGGAAAGAAAAGCTCAAACACAAAGATTTATAGTGGTTCGGCTCATCGGCTTACGTTCACTCCTCAAGGTACCTCGAGAATTCCTTTACTATGAACCAAATCAATACACCACCAAGCTTCACCTAGCTTGTAGATTTTTACATAGGACTTACTTTATCCATTGAGTGCCTCTCAAGTAAATGGCTAGAGGACTTACTTTATTCGTTGAGGACCTCTTAGCTAAATGCCTCATTTTACAAGGTTTTTCACTCAGAAAAAGTTGAATAAGAATAAGAGGTACAACTATCCTCTTTTACAAGGTTTCTTTCTCAAAAGATAGATATGAAAGTGTAAGAGCAGAGAGGGTTTTGAGATACACTCAGATATGAACGTGAAGGTACAATAGAATATCAGAATTGAGAATGATACTTGAATGCTCAGAATATTGCAGTGGTGTTATCTAAATCTTTAAATTTGGAGAAGTTCTCCCTTTATAGCCTTCAATGTTTTATCTATTGGAGAAGAAGCACAAGTGAGTCTTCTAATAGTTGGAGCTGGGCATAGGAGAAGACTTCTAGCTGTTGGAGTAGAGCATGGGTGTGTACAGGTTGTCATCTACCTGTTGGAGATGGAGCCTCCTCAAAAGATGTGATGCCCATGCTTGAGATTCAAATCTTGGTGGGTGGAGATAATGTTGTCTCCATGCTTTTTGTTTTTCCTTGTTTTGGGAATAGTGTGGATGGAAAATTCTTCCTCCACTAAGTCAAAAGTTGCTGTCCCAAAATCCCTTTTGATTTGAATAAGATTTGTCTCTTGATGATGTCACAAAATCCCACTTATAGATCTAGAATGGTAGCTAGGGTTTTTACAACCCAGACATAAGGGTGTCGACTCCTGTAGATTGGGTGTTGACCCTTTGCTCTCTTTTCTTCTTTCCTTTGGCTTCCTGGTGTTCTTGGTGTCAACCCTTAGCATTTTGAAATTTGGTGTCGACCCTTGTAAGGCTTTGGTGTCCACCATTGGTTGCTGCAACACTTGAAATCTGGTGTCGACCCTTGCTGTCTTGGTGTCGACCCTTTGACATGTTTAAGCTCATTTTGACCTCGAAAAACATTGTTAACATAGAAAGAATGTAGATTATAAAGATTTAATCAAACATTAGGATTTTCAATTATAATCAATTCCTCAAAATAAATCAAAACATAATCACAACAAAGTTATCAAAATCATGTTATTCATTCTATGACTAACAATAGTCACTTTGTTCAATTCTTGGTAGTCTATGCATAACCTCAAAGACCCCTCTTTCTTCTTAACAAACAAAACGGGAGCACCCCAAGGTGAAGTGCTTGATTGGATAAACTTCTTGTCTAATAGTTCGTGAAAATAGATTTTGAGTTCTTTCAATTTGGAGGTTGACATTCTGTATGGGGTTTTGGAAATAGGTTGCGTTCCAGGTACTACTTCAATGGTAAATTCAATTTCCCTATCAATCAAGTCACCAGGTAGTTCATTTAGAAACAAATCAGGAAATTTATTGACTACAGGGATGTTCTCTACATTAGTGCTACCTGTGGGCACAGTCAATACACAATACAAATAACCCCGATAACTTTTTCTCAATAGTTTATTAGCTTTCATTGTAGAGATCAAATATGGGGGAGGAACTACACCATTCCTAACAAACACAATTTCAGGTAATCCCGGTGGCTGAAACACTACAAATTTAGCAACACAATCAATGGTAGCGTGATATTTTGCCAACCAATCCATATCCAATATGCAGTCAAAATGATATATATGCAATGGCAACAAATCAACATATAAAAGTGCTTCTCCAATTATAACATCACATGCATGATACACATAAACACATATCATAGAACCCTTAGGTGGTGTAGATACCGATAACAAGTAATTCATAGTTTCTAAGGGTCTAGTCAATTTCTGAGAAAAAACATGTGACACAAATGAATGGGTAGATCCAGAGTCTATTAAGACATATGCATTTTGAGCACAAATAGGAAGTATACCTAACACCACAGACTCGGTGTCTTGGATGTCCCCAGGCACAAGTGCAAAAACTTGGCCTTGTCTCACAATTTCCTTTCCAGTGTTAACTCTAGCTTTAGTTCTTGGTATAGGAGTGGATCCGGCTAAACTTGCCGCCGGATGGTTGGCAGTCTCATTGAGTGAGCAATCTTTCATCATGTGGTAAACCTTGCCACATAGGAAGCAAGCACCAGATGCACAACAACAGACACACTTATGTTTTCTTCCACATTCAGAACAAACAGGTGTAGATCCACTACTTTGGCTTGAGCTGCTAGTAGACCTTGTGTTTTGCTTCTTATTCGTAGCAAATGAATGGCCCTTTCTGAAATTGTACCCAGATCTTTTACTTCCCCATTCAGTTGTTGGAGCCTTGGTCTGTTTCATAGCCGCTAGGTTGGCTTCATTCATCAGGGCTCTATCAAGTATATCCATATATTTGGGCAATTTCAATACACCAAGTTGATCAAACACGTCTAGATTCAAACCTCCTTCAAATTTTTGAGCTTTCTTATAATCCGCGTCCAGCATGCGAGGAGCAAATCGGGCTAACTCAGTGAATTTAGCTTCATACTCAGCTACAGACATGTTGCCTTGCTTCAACTGCTCGAACTCTGGCACTTTTTTTTTGTTTCTAAAGCACTGAGGAAAGTATTTCTCATAGAAGATCTCTTTAAATTGATCCCAGGTCATGGTTCTATTATAATGTCGAATAAGCATCCACCAACGGCGAGCTTCTTCTTTTAGAGTATAAGTAGCCAATAATACTTTTTGAGTTTTAGAGCATGGAAACACTTCAAATAACTTTTTAGTCCCTAACATCTATGTCTCAGCTTTTAGTGGTTCAATACCACCCAGAAAAGTTGGTGGCTTCATCTTGTTAAATTTTTGAGTCAAACTGAGAATGTCATTATTAACCGGCTCTACTTGGACCGGAGGGGGCATGGGAGGCAAAGGTTGTTGTCTCAGTGATTCTGTTAAGGCCTCTAACATCTGTTCCATGCTGTTTATTCGGGCCTTAGAAGATTCAGTTGTACCATCACTTCTTGTGTTCTCCACTTGCTGAAGGTAAACCGAGCACTAATAAACACAAGAATAATCTTTTCACAATATTCAATTTTAGTTCATTTCGTTTCAATGTCAATGTATATTGGTTCAAATATGTCCACATGATGTTACATACACACACACACACACTTGTACATGCAGCTGTAATATCCCTAATTCCTTTCTAGAACATCCTATAGCTCATATGGACTCATGTGTGCGGTATAACACGTGCTCTGATACTACTCTGTCATGACCCAAATCTGCCCCTATAGGTTTAGCATCGTAACCAGCCAGTAATCCTGGGATTACCCAAGGCCTCTGAACAGATTAAGCAAAAGTAAAGGGACTAGTGGAAGCAAATACAAACATACAGTGTCTATAGAGCTGTGCAGACATATATGGGATAGAAAGTTTGAAACTTAATTTACGTAATTACGATGTCATCCACACGTCACCATATATGTACACATAGATAAACAAAAGACATGTTTTGACTTAACAAAAGAAATACAATGGTCTTAAACATTGCTCACAAAACTTGACCACTTCTCAAATGGGAACCTCCTCAGGAGACATAGTGGCTGGCTGACAGAACGAAATTTGCGGCAATCAACTTTGAGCCTGATCACGTTCATGGTCACCTATATACATAAATAATACGGTGAGTTAGAGCCTAGTGAATAACAATAAGGTAAAGGGGTTTATGAATGATATTTATCACAACTTCAGAAATCAGAGTTCATATCAGAAACAGACTCAGATTTACATACATATCCAGAAATCATAAGCAGTTATATATGGTACATCCATTAGCTATCAGATCAAATTGGTCATGGGACTTACATGCATAGTCAGTACTGACGACCATAAAGGTCTATATCTTGTGCACAAGTAGTCGTGGTATTGTATCCCCCGGGTGAGGGCCATGTAAACATAGACCACGATATTGTTTCCCCCGAGCAAGGGCCATATGATCATAAGCCACGGTATTGTTTCCCTCGAGCGAGGGCCATATACATATTGGTCATGGTATTGTTTCTCCCGGGCAATGGCCATGTGAAATAAGGATGCTACAAATACATTTCAGAAAATTGGACATTCATTTATAACTCACAAAATAACATTTCATAAAACAAATTATATCATTTCAGTCAGAAAATACTTGTAATCAAACATAATTTTACAGAATTGTTACTCACAGATAGCTCCGATAGCAGAATAGTCAGAACAGTTGGATCAGACAGCCTATGGTGCGTGACCTATACCAACACATAGCGGATATATATTGAAACACATACTCGAAAAACACATAACTCATTTCTTTTCTATCTTGGTGTGTTTCTAATCCTTATCCTCATTATTTTGCTTTAATTAGGGCTTATGAATGCCTAATATGCAACGAGGATGCCAAAATGTAAGTTGAAACACTTAGTCAAATTTGCTGAAAACAGGGTCTTCGCTCGAGCACAACTTTGGTCGCTCGAGCGGCCTGTAAAATTATGTAAAACTTCTAGGAGCTCTTATTTTACGCTTGCGCGCAACTTCTTGCGCTCGAACGGAGGATCAAACATAAAGGTGGTCGCTCGAGCGTAGGTTCTACTGCTCGAGCCAACCCTCAAACTCTACGCAAGTATTGGGAGCTCGAATTCTTCACTCGAGCTCAACTTCCTATGCTAGAGCGAAGAGTGTGAGTTCTAGAATTTCCAGATTGGACTTCTAGCTCCAAACTTGAATTCAAAGCTTCAAAACACATCCTTTGGGCCCAAAACTTGAGAAAACATGTCTAAACTTCAACAACATCATGAATTGAAGGTTATTTTGCAAAATTAAGGCCCAAAAGCAAGTCAATTGTTTGAAACCAAACTTAAAACTCAATGTATAATACATGCAAGAGTTGATACAAATTCTATCATTCCAAAACATGATCAAATGAGATATTTAGCTCAAAAACATGTTGAATTCTTATAACAAAACCAATATAAGAACATGCATATGGGAATTCTTTTGAAACCACTCCAAAATGCTATTAAATGTGCATGTATGTAGGATTTGAATTATAATTCCCCAATCTTAGCTTTGTTCTTATGTTAATCTACTTAATTCTTTTGAATTCATACATTGAATGAGTCTCTCACTTTTTTCTCCTCAAGAAAATGATGAACAAAAAGAGTTGTAATGTGTGTATAAGCCTTATATAGGCTTAGTTAGTGGGCCTAATTAAACTAGACTTACAGCTAATGAATTGGCATTATTTTATTCTAATTATTGAATCCGAATAAGAATTTAATTAAACTTACCATAAAATTCTAAAAAAATCCAAATAACATATTAACCTAGGCAAATTTGTGATCGGATGCTGATAAGGCCTTAATTTCACATATTGAATCAGGAAGTCAGACAGATATTTCTACATCAAACAGATATAAGCACAAATAACACCATACACATGCAATTAAGTTATGATTTCCTCTTAATTACTTATTAGGCATTCTTAATCATGGTTTATTAGCTAATCACATGCCGGGGTTGTTACAATTGCCTTTGAAGATTTAAGAATATTGAAATCCATAGTTTTGAAGATTCGCACACCATGGATGACACTGAGATGGTTGGTTCGGATATAAACATTAAAAACGTTGATTTGAACATTGAAAAGGTTAGTTTATGACTTAGGTTTTTGATTTTTTATTTATCTTGTTCGTATGTTGGAAACATGAGTTTGTTTGCTGTGCTCAGATAACCAGAGTTGAATTTTTACACAATGTTAAGTTTGATCAACTTGAACATGACTAATTTAAAGAATTTGAAACGATGATGAAAGACGAGAGTTCAAGACCAATAATGAAGATTAACACCAGCAAAGATGGAGGCCAAATGAAACACTGCGCCGGCGATCTAAAACGATGAGACGACGAGATGTGACACGACGAGAGTTCAATAACAGCTATAGAGATCAACACCGACGAAGATAGAGGGCGAATGAAATCTCTGCCTGCGATGGAGATTAAGACCAACGAAGATAGTCTCTATTGGTGTCTATTTTGAAGATTGTGGGGTTTTTATTGTGTGTAATGGTGAAGATGAAGAGTTTTTGGTGTGTGTAATGGTGTGTATTCAAATAGTTAGTGACGTGTTAATATAGGGTTAGTAATGGAAAGGTAAGGTATAAACTAAGATATTTTTAAAATATAAAAATTATTTTGTGTGTGTACTAAGTAATGATGCGTACTAAGAGTATTAGTAATGTGTAAATAGAATCACCCATTTATTTTGACGGGGTTAATGTTGGGATGAAGAGGACATTTTTGTCCCTAAACCTTTATATGTAGAAACTAATAAAAAAATGTAGATATTTTGTTCATGTCATTTTAGAGAAAATGACAATCACCCTGTTTGATTTTGAGTTTTCAAAAATAGTTTTCTGAGCTTTCAATTCGTATTTATATATTTTTAATGATTTTTAAAATAAATATTTTAATCATTTTTTTAAATTTTTTTTAGATCCACTTATTCTTAATATACTTAAAAAGTAAATTACAATATATACATTTTTTAAAATTCATTGAATACAACAAAATATGAAAATGTATTAATTTTTGTATTTGATAATTTAAAAAAAAAATTTCACAAAATTTTTACTTTTTAAGCATATTTATGTTAGGCATGTCTAAAAAGTAAAAAAAAAAATTAATTAAAATATTAAAAAAATTCATTAAAAAAAACACACACACATGAAAAATAAAAAAGTAAAATTTTCTAAAAAATATTTTTGAAAAAAGAGAACCAAGCAAAGTAACGTAACACAAAAAGAAAAGGATTTTAGATAATTATAAATTTGTGGACAATTTTTTCTTAATTATGTTAAAGATAATATTTTATTTTTTTGTTCAAAAAATAAAAAAATTTGTTGATAACCATACCTAACTTCTTCGAACGGATTTCTTTAGACCCCACCAATTAATTTCAAATTTTAGTTCACATGTCTTTCCCTTTCTCTTCTTTTTTTTTTTGATCGGCAAAATGAAACTTTATTGATGAAAAAACAAGTACAAGGAAACAAGCTAAATACATCAATAAAGGGCATGGGAGTGCAACGCATCACAATGAGCTAATTGATCCCAACTAGGTTGGCACCAAAAAGATCATCCTATCATTTGCTAGCACCCCAGAGTTGGTGAGGGACCAACGAAGAGAAAAAACACAACCAAGGCAGAACAGCCACCTGAACAACCCAACCATTAGCAGCACACTCAGCTGGTTAGTCTCTCTTAGAATTGGCTGATTGCTGAATGTTGCTGCTAATGGTTGGGTTGTTCAGGTGGCTGCTCTGCCTTGGTGGTGTTTTTTCTCTTCGTTGGTCCCTCACCAACTATGGGGTGCTAGCAAATGATAGGATGATCTTTTTGGTGCCAACCTAGTTGGGATCAATTAGCTCATTGTGATGCGTTGCACTCCCATGCCCTGGGGAGGCTTGAACCTTAGAAGAAAAATCCATTTGGTTAAATGGGGAGAGGTTACTCTTAGTAAAAGCCAAGGAGGGTTGGGGGTGAAAAGAATTGATCTGATGAATGTATGTCTACTATTAAAATGGTGGTGGAGGTTTGGGGCAGAAGAGAAAGCCCTGTGGAAAGATGTGATTTGCA